CCTTTATTACATTTTAGATCGCGCTAAATAGATTAGATCCTCCACACTGTTCATCTGCTTAGCGTCAATCATATTAAGAAGAATATCATCAACGATAAAAACGTTAGTTAGAGACGCGCAGATTGACTTCTTTAACTCACTTTTACTATATTTTTCCCCGTCTTCCACCTTGGGAAGCGAAATGCATCTCCAAGCGAAACTCACGCAATTTAGCTGCTGAATTGTTAATTAAATTGGAATTATATGGAAGCGAAGTTTTCGGCGAGACTTAGAGAGAGAATCGACATCAACCGGATGCCAACAAATAGCAAGGAGATACGACAAGCAGTTTGAAGATGGAAAGCGGCAATAAATCCGGCGGAGTTAACAAGTCTGTCAGACCTCACTTAGCCGCGGTGTATTTTGGTTATATCGGCCGGAATAACGCAGCGGCATGGTCCATCTGGCAAGCCTTAATTACCATTTATATTCCGCATTTGCGCAGCTCGTGGACGATGTAAAATTACAGCGGTCCGGGGAATCTCGGCTTTCATTAAAAGATAATTAAATCAGCAGCGAATCGATCCCCTGCTTTATCTTGCCGTCTCCTGTTCGCGGAACTTGCTGAATTATGCAGCGAGGCGAGACGAGAACGTCGACTTTAAAATTGTATCGCGAAACAGCCCAGAGTTTCAGAGGAATGGTCCTGGGTATTCTTTCTTATTACACTGCCCTTTCGAGATGAGCAGATGGCAAAGAAAACCTCTTTCGGTGCCGCTCAGACATTTTAATCTCTCCAATGTAAAATTAAGCATGGCAGTCTCACATTAGCGAGAGATCTCATTTACCTGTATTTTTCTACGCGAGAGGGAAAACGAAACGTTGTTGTCTATGACTCGCTGTTATTCCCGGGAATTAAATAAGATTAGGGTCGTAAAAATTTTTACAGGCCCTCCCAGGTTGTTATTGCTCGTTGTTCATTGTCGACTTGAAAATTGTACCTCGGTAATCTCGTAATTACCGAATTGCTCGCGCATGTATACACGTCGATATAAGCATACTTGATTTCCCGATCGCGGCGTCGTGCATAATAAATGACAGTCTCGTGCGGAGAGACGGTGACCTTCGTTATCCGGCGTAATTAATAAAACGACTAAACGAGCGGCACTCCAGCGCCATTAATCACAGCGACGAGAGCTATTAGTAATGCCTTTTCGAGCCGGAAGTTGAGCGAATGCGCACTCTGCACTCGTGACGTTCTCTTTCATGAAAAGGGGAAGGATGTGCAAGGATCGTGCGATTTCCCTCGGCTTGCCACATTAAATTTCCTGTCGCTCCGTCGCAGGCTAACGCGGGTATAATGTCCTAAAGTTATTTTCGTAAATGCGCCGTGAAATGTGTAAAAATTATTTTCTCAGCGTACCGCGGAGTCGACCCTTCAATTTTTCAAATTACGTCCTCCCGAGAAAATTTCTCCCTCTCGCGGACTGAAGCAACGGCGGAGGAGCGTACGGTCACGTCACATCGATTATATCGATATTTTTAAAGAAAATCGCCCGGGGCCATGAATCCCCAACAAACTTGGAGAGCGAGACACTTTATCTTCCGCGCGAGACGAACAAATCATTTCCCGAGCCGTACTTTCGCCTAAAAGGATGGCGAAGGCATTCTTTTGCCGGCGACTCGTGAATCACGAAGAGACCGGGGATCTTTATTCCAAAGTATTCTGAGAGTTGAAACAAATTCCGCGAACTTGGTGGATTCGATTATTAGTTCGCGCCTCGAAAACTCGCCGCCTATCTCCGTCTTCTTCCGCTTCCGCCATACGTTCGATACTGGGCTTTACCTATCGTCGACGGAATTGTGAGTGCAGGCGGCCGTGTAATTGCGAGTCTTCCAAGGAAAACGGAAACTTTCTTCTCCCCCTCCCCACCCCGAGTCGGGGGAGAAGAAGTGCCGACAACGTGCATTAACTGGATCCAAACTTTCGATAGAAATTTCCATTACGTAAGAATCCGGAAGACAATACTGCATCGGGGAAGAAACGTATCCCTTTCAGGCTTGTCTGGAAATCGCACTTTCCGAGACTCGATTTAAGATTGCAAGTTGCTATTTTGCAAGCTGTTATCAGGCAAGAAATAAACTCTGGCTCAAATCTAATCACAAATTCTAGTAAAGTAATAACAAAATGGGTTACAACTTTTATTGGTTACAGTTGTGGATTACAAAAGAGACTGGCTTGGACTCTGTACATTGTAACTGAAAAAAAATTAAGCAAATTGCGAAACTCTAAAGTGTAACGAAATACATTAATGAAGTTGCATCTTCGACACAAATTTGAGAATCTTCCAAGTATGTCGTCGACATTGTAAGCAAGTAAGAATCTAAACTTACTAAATACGGCGAAATTCTAACAGACTCGATTTGAGATTGCAAGTTGCTATTTTGCAAGCTGTTGTCAGGCAAGAGATAAACTCTGGTTCAAATCTAATCACAAATTGTAGTAAAGTAATAACAGAATGGGTTACAACCTTTATTGGTTACAGTTGTAGATTTTAAAAGAGGCTGGCTTCAACTCTGTACATTGTAACTGAAAAAGTGTGAAAATTAAGCAAAGTGCGAAAATCTAAAGTGTAATAAAATTAATTAATTTGCACCTTCGACAAAAATTTGGAGAATAGCAAGAACAGCGAGAAATGGGAAACCAACATCTAAAAGACCCCCAAACAGATGGATGGACAGCTGGACGTCCGGATTACAAGAGATGTATTAATCGGAAAAAGCCCGATTTAAGAGGAAGACGAAGAAAAAGAAGAGGAAGAAGAAGACATAAATTTGAGAATCTTCCAAGTATGTCGTCGACATTGTAAGCAAGTAAGAATCTAAACTTACTAAATACGGAGAAATTCTAACAACTTCTTCAATTTCAAACGACAAAGACCATGAAGGATTTACAGATCTATTAGAGTTCACACTATAATCTCGCGAAACTTTCGCGCAGTCCGTAATGGCGCAAAGAGATTTCAACAAGCAATTTCGAGCCACGTGTCAGTGGCGCGGGCGTCAGAAAAATGAGAAATATTTGATAAATCTTTCCGTGTCATTCTCTTCAGTTTCCAGCCACGGAGGCAACGTCGAACACCGTGGCAGGTACGCGCAATATATTTCTTTGCTGTTGTGCCTCTTCATCTTCAACCCTTTTTATTGCCGTCACCTAAGCTCTTTCCCGCCCTTATATCTCTCGCCGAACTTTCTCCTTCGGCCTTTTCCTCAGCTTGAGGGAGCCTTTTTATGTCTCCACGTATGTCGGCCAGAGTGAATGGTGTTTCAATAATCGTATATCATTGAATTTTCTCGGGCGAAATAGAAAATTTCGCTTTTCCCTGCGCTTGCAAGCTGCTCCACGCGTCTCAACGTCTCGGGGCCGGAAATTGAACGGCAAATGTGACCGCCCCGCGTCGTCTTTATCCGAAGAAAATATCTTTAAGAGTATACGTAGATAATTCCGCTCGTACGCGAGCACGCGCGTGTACGTGGGCGCGCGCGCGCGCGCGCCCCGTGTTTTTGCGCGTAGCAGAGATAAAAATGAAGATAATGAGATCCGCAGAAGCGACGAGGAATCGCAGATAAAAAATGAACAAAGAATCACAGACATCCGGAATGTATTCTCTCTTTGTAAAGAAGATTTTCCAATTACGTCGATCATCCGGACTTTAGTAATTACACGTCACATAGGCTCTAATCTCCGATCTATTCGGAATGTTCCGCGTGTCTTCTCGGCGAGACGTTGGTCCAGCTCAAGCTCAATAACTTGCACAATCCCGGGGAAGTTGAGTTTCAGACCGTCCGCGCGCGAGCCGCCCCGCTATATTGGGATCGCGCGCGGGGGTCAATGACATCTATTCCCGGCCGCCATAATTCACAGGGCCTTCCCCCGACTCTGGGGAAAAGTTCCCTCAAACTTAGATTAGCGATTCAATTTGGGCCGCCAGTGAATCATCTTAAAAATCGTTTTTTAATCGGGACACTCTGTAACGAACAAAACGTCCCTGCCTTGCCGGGGCGGCTTTTCCTGCCTCGGGCTTTTCCCGCATTTCCCGCCCTTCCGTTTACCCCCTGCCCCCCCCCCCCCAGCCACTCATAGATTTCCGCGCCGTTCGTTCAACGCTGCTAGCCCGGCGACCAGCGAGGATTACTTCATCTGCTAATGCCCATCTAAAATTCCGTTTTTTCAAAAGGGTTGACGGATTGAACTCATTATGTATATCCACGCGCAAAAATAATTTATTCGCTAATGAATCTATTTTTAACAACTTGCTAAGAGCAAGTTTTTAATATTAGAGGAGAATGAGGGGTAAATTGTTTTACCCTCTGGACAATTCTTCTTTTTTCTCGCACAGGTAAACTTAAATCCTACAATCTCGAGGAAAAGAGTTAATAAATTTTGTTACTCGAGCATCGCGAACTTAAAGTCCACGATCTCAAAAGAGTTCATAAATTTTGTTACTCAAGTATTCTGAATTAAGCCCGAGTTAAAATTTCCTGATTTTCTTTTATCATTATTCAAAAGTCTCAAGGAACTTGGGAGTTTATACGTTACAAAAATGAAAAATTGACGAATGAACGCAATTCTGCAGAATGACATTACCAAGTTCTTCCCTCGAGATAGTGTCGAGAGCATCGTCTCTGGTTGTGACTCCGAAGTGCAGAGAGCGTATAAAGAAGTTTCGGTACTTGATCGATCGATTTGACTACACCACCTTGCCGCGCAGCTCGATAACGTCTCGGTGTACGAATAAAGGGATGTACGATGCACAATTTCAAGCTCGGTTCCAGTCTACTTTTCGGATGACGTCACTGTTGGCGCTCGAGCAAGTTCAGAAGATTCAATTAGCCGTCGACAAATTCGTTTCGATAATCAAATCAAGTAGACACGAAGAGGAGAGAGTTTGTCGTTTCGTCGTAAGAGTAGGTCTTTTTTTTTCTCTTGGGGGGGGGGGGGGAAATCCGCGAATACATTTTCCACGGCGTCAAGACTGAAGTTATGTATTACGTCACTGAAATTCAGATACTCGAGATTTTTATTTATGGCAAGGCGTATCGACGTAATCGCGCGTGACGGCTACAAAGTTGCTCGCGCGACTGAATCGCCGGAGGGTCTGTACGTTCACTCACCCATGGCAGGTGCGTAGATGTTCAGGTAGAGGCAGTCCTCGCTCTGGTTACGCAGATGAGGCAGCAGTCTCTTCAGATACTCCAGCCTTCCCTTAGGCATTCGCTCGAGCGCTTCCTGCTCGTTTGCGATGTCCGGCAGCTTTTGGGGGCAGACCGGACCCACCGAGTCCGATAATCTGCAGAGGAAATCGGAAATCGTTCGTGCGTTACAACGAACCGAACGGTCAAAGTTTCGCGTGGAATACGCGTCGCCGTGTTCAATAAGGACGGGCGTCGTTGACGGGAATGTATTTAGGGTCGCGCGTACACCAGGTGTCTTACATCATACATTGTTATTACACCTGTTGTAAGTTGGTATCTTGAAAATTACACCTCCATCGGTGTTCGTTTCTTTAATTAATTGCTCAACCAAATTGAGAGGCTTATTGTCGCCAGTGGTAATTAACGCGGGGACATTCTTTTAAAAATCGACCAAACTGGCATAAAAGGTGATATATATTTAAGTCGCGACGTTTCGACCTCTTTATCGGGTCCTTTTCAAGTACAATCTAATGTTCAGTCAACATTAGATTGCACTTGAAAAGGACCCGATAAAGAGGTCGAAACGTTGTGATTTAAATAACACTTTTTATGCCAGTTTGGTCGATTTTTAAAAGAATTTCCCCGTGTTAATTGATTAAATTGACGAATATTAAAGTGACTCGTCGTCGCGATCACTTTTCGTTGAGAGATTTACAATTTTTTGGTAGCTGTGCAGTTGCAAGCGGACCCGGCAGCAATATAACGTCGGCATTCGAAAGATTCGCCAAGGAATATCTTGGCATAATTTTAGAATGTTGTATATCCTGTGATATTCCCAGACACTTCGAGTTAGGAAGACTGCGCGGCATCCAAAGTATTTCGAGAAGATCGTGCTTGTTATAAAATTGGAAAGTATCTGCTTCTAACTGCGAGGAGAACGTGAATGCGATCGACTTTTCGCGCACGAAAATAAAAATTGATTAGCCTTGACGTAACTTTCCGCGCAGCTCCCTGCAAACTCGATCGCGATGGGGAAAAAAAGCCTCGAGGTTTCGATATAAACATTATTCGCGGTAAATTTATCTAGAAATGGAACGGAGAAACAAAAGTCGAACAAATAGAAAATGTAATATTCTCATTGCTCCACTCGCAATACTTTCACCTGAAGTCGAAGGGTGCGGTTGTATATCAGAATGAAATTTGAGCTTTCTCGGGGAACGTCGCTCTCTCGAAAGTCAGTTTACGAAGCCTGGCTTCCCGGGGTACAACTGCGCCCAATTAAAATGACACTTTCGACCCCGCCCTGCGTCAATGTTGCTCGTAATTTTTGCGCGTGCACCACGAGGAAATGAAATTCGCTAAATGATATTGGCTCCCGCCTTCGAAGAAGTTGAAAAGAAACGTTTTACCTGACTCCGTCCCAGGGACTCGGCGCCCTCGTTGGGGAGAAGCGGTTGCTGCCGACCGGCGGTGTGGCGTAGGGTATTCCAAGGTACACGTCGATCGGCTTGAGGAACTTGGCGGCATAATCGAAGGACCTCGTGGTACCCTGCACCTCCCCGTAACGCGTCTGGACGATCCGCGGGTTGAGCTTGCTCTTGATGGAGAGCGAGAGGGCGGGCGGCGCGACCAGGCAAACGAGGATCAGGAAGAGTTCCATCTTGCCACCCTCCCCTCGCCTCGCCCGCGCTACCGCGACTGATCGCGCCCGACACGATCTATGGATCACCTCCGCGTCCCGCGACGATCGTCTCTCATTTACGCCCGCGCGATTAATTACGGCGCCGTCGAGTCTCCCCCATCCCGATGAGCACCTCTGGAAAATATTACATGCATCGCGGCACCATGGATTATTGATTGCAAATTACCGCGGGCATTAATTCTCCGTTGATTTCATTTTTAACGTTAATCTTTATTGCAATTGCATTATGTGAATTTACGGTTGCTTCGTTTGCCTCGTTATTTCAACCCGACAAAACTGCTCCGTGCCGCGCAATAACGTTGCTCAATTTATTGTGCAATATAAAAACGATTCTTACAAATGGAAATAGCTAATTAATTGAATGGTTTTTTTTTAAAACGTCGCCACAATTTTTAATATTAATATTTTAGCGCGACAAATGTTTGCGTTAAATCTCTGATACAAACAGCGCCTGAAATTAAATGCTGAAAACGCAAAAGGTGAAATTAATTAGACACTAGTAAACTACAGGTACGATAATGTAAGAAGACAAAACAGTGCTCTCATAATATCACTCCATGACAATAATAATTATTAATTAACATCAACTTGAAATTGTTGCAGCAAGCGATGTTGAAACAAATGAAGTTGCACTTTATCGCGAATTATTTCGCACGCGATTGCTCGTCCGATCGCATCAATTAATTTCGTATTTTTGTTAGTTTTAATTTTCAGGATGTGGCTGTTCCCGTTGCTGGTTTGGTGGCGTATTTATTTAACGTGCCCGTTCAATTAACTATATCAATATTTAATTAATACGCGCCGCGGTTACATCGATTCTATTGGAAAATGACAATGATATTCAAGAAAAGCGGAAAAAAAGGAACGAATAACCGGGTATACATTTCAATGCGGCGGGCAATCGATATTCTGAGGGTGGTTTCTCCAAGGATGCACGATAGCAACGACACCTTTCTCGCCCTTCGATTATTAGCGAATTCTAATCTTGCGACGGAAAGTTTCATCTGCGTCTCTTTGATGAAAGATAAAGTAAGACGGCCGAAGGGAGCAGCGACAAGAGTTGAAGACAATGGATAAGTGTGCGAGAGGGGAAGTTTCAGACTCGATAAGCACGGGGAGACATTTTCCATAGATATCGTACAGTTACCATATTTTAGCAGAATCAGATATCTTGAAGTGAATTAATTAATCTCTGGTTAATATTTTTACATATTTCGATAAAAATTCACTTTAGCGCGTTGAAAGTACAAAAATAATCGAAAGGTACAAGCCAGGAAAGAATGGTTTGAAAACGTCGAGTTTAAGAGGCGGGGGTAGAGTAAAAAAAAAAGCCATCGGTCATCAGCCATTAGAAAATATATGGGGAACGCCACATGTACAATAACTAGAATTCGTTGAAAAACTTGAAATATCCACTTCAGAAATCTGTGGAGTTTTTAACACTGTCGTCATAAAAACGTCGCGGCGTTTTGGCATACATGAAGGGTGTAAATCAAAAAATTAATCACGTCTCGGTGCGATTATCGAGTCTTGAATTCACATTACGCGATAAGATTACGAAGACCCAAAGTTTCCATGAGCGGCTAGAGAAGGAACATATACACACGTTACACAGCCACACGCAGACACGCACACACGCAGACGCACACGTACATACACACGCGAATGGTTGCAGAGAAAGGTAGAGAGGCGGGGTTGGGGGTTGAGAGAAGTGCTGGAAAGGGTAAGGGATAAGTGAGTGCACTCGTACGTGGAGCCATTATGGAAATCAGTACTTATCGGCCCGGAGAGGAGAAGGAAATTCAACGTTGTGTAACGATGCCACGTTTTCCTCGTGATCCACGTGGCGAGGAAAAAGAAGATAAGCTGTTTCGGCCCCGTCACTCGCTCTGATAATTTCTCTTCCTTATCAACGATGCGGCGTTCTTGCCGCGAATCCATCTCCTCGATTTGCGAATTAAAGGCGACGCCAAAGTTTCTTCGTCGAGAGGTAGACGAAAAATAATATTAATAATCTTAATGTTATTACTTGCTTTGGCGAACACTTGAAAATCTCTTGTAGATAAAAATATTTTGGTGAAGATTGAACTTTCAATTTTTGCGTCGGACCCGTCAGTTTTCAAGGTAGTAATAACATTGATTAATAATTAGATTAATAACCAACTTGTGCCTCCATAACGTTTGTTATTACTTGGTAATAATTATAAATCTTACCTTGCACATGAGTCATGACTTCGATTAGTCCGTTCGCCCTCCTGGGACTTCTCGACTTATTGAACGATGTCGACATAGGCTCAACCCAGAACGCCTCTTGGCATTTTGTTTATTACACTCGCTAACGAGAATAATCGATTTATAATTTTGCAAATTAATTGTCAAGAAAATTAGTCTCTATCGTTACAACTTTTGTCATGTCTCTCAAATGCGCGTTCCGTGAGTCGTAATTTGCGAACATTTTCTCTTCTTGTCTTTATCTTATTTTGCGCAGCCAACTGTAATTTCTTTTGTGCAACCAACTGTAACTCTTCTTTTCTAATAATTAATTAAATTTTGAACATTATGTCCCATTAGGTTTCGAACGCTGCTTGCAGTCCTGAAACATAAAAAAATGTGTTTAATTAATTTTTGCAAAAACACACTTTTGCAATTATATTTTATGAAGAATTCTTTTATTCGTTCGCGATTGTACTTAAGTGCTTAAATTGACGTTATTTATTTGTTCGTTTGTCATTATAATTGTACAGAAATGTTTCCTTTGTACAATGCAGTAAGGTGAGAGTTTCTATCAATAATATATAGGCAATTATTGAAAAGAAGTCATGCGCACACATGATTCAATGAATGATAATCATATTTTACTATACCTGGCTTTGTTATTGTTCACAAAGAGCAAGAGAAATTTACATAGCGTATAGTTATATATTATTAATATCAGATTATGATAATCATATAGCAATCAACTAGATTACTAAATCAGGTCATTAATAAATTGTCAAATCAGCTGAGGATATTGTGTAGAATTGAATGACTCATTATCGCTCTTTGTTAATAATTAGCTAATTAATTTTCAAATAGAATCGACGAGTTAGCTTACGATTCAGAATCAAAACGCAATAGCGTACTCACATTTAAGGAAAGGTCACAAAAGGGTCAATATTTTTATTTTCTTTTGCCGCATTATGATATGAAAGATAAAATATTTTATGAAATATTCATTTGGCGAATACTTTTATATTCATACGCACAAAAATTAATTGATTGGCGTATAGAAAATATATAATTATATTGAAAATGTGTAAAATGTAATGTGCACGTAAATAGAATAATTAGGAAAACCAATTTGTATAAAAGTAATTATGTAAACGTGAATATATTCTTCAAAAATATATCCAAAAAAATTGTAAAATTTAATTTATAAAATTTCCTTTTGCTTTGTAAACAATATGTGTGCTCTTTCGCGTTTTTCAAATTTGTACAGAGACTTTATATTCAACTGTGTACCGCTGCATTCAACTCATTAGCAAATTATTCTTATTTGTAAATAAAATTGTTATTTACCTTAATTTATTCGATCTTAAAGCAACATCACATTATCAATTATCATTATTTACGCCTTTAAACTTCTTTTCTATTTTTTCCCCTATCTCTTTTACGTTTCTCTCTCCCTCGTCTTTATAATTCATTCTTATGCTCTTCCTTCCTCTCTTGTCTCCTTTGGTTTTTTTTCTCATGTATATTGTAACGTACTGGGATTAAATGGGCTAAACCCAACATTTAATTAGACGAGGAAAGAGGAGGAAGAAAAAAACCCGAGGAACCTTTCTGAAATTTTTCAAGCTAATTGAAATTGAAATTGATGTGATAAAACTCTAAATAAAAATAAGTAAAAACCAAATTTATGATTGCGTGTAAATATTTAATTACATGATTATTTAAATATATTTTGTGAAAACAGTATTTCAAAATTTGCAATAATTACCTTCAAGCATACATTATTAGATTTACGAGATATTTAATTCATTATTACGAAAATACCTGTGACATTTTATTATATTTAAATTATTTATAAATATAAACAAATGTATACAAATTGAAATGCCCTTGGACACGTATTGCATTTATTGCGATAATTTTTCTGGTTTTAAAATGCATTATATTATGCCCACGGCCGATTACAGGAGCTTATCTTAATCTTAAACCCTTAATCTTATCACGCCATTACTCCTTACGAGGGCAGCGCAACGCGAATGCAGTAGAATGCGGACTCTCGGGCGATAGTCACGTTGAGAAAAGAACAGGTAAGGCTAAGATTTGATTACACCAATGGACTATCTTTGAAAGGGTCAACCCTTTCCATAGGGCCGTGTAGCAGCTGACTGCTTTAGCGATAGCGGAATGCCGTTATCGTCTGGACAGTTCTGGCGAACAATTATTACTACTTGGCAAACTCAAATAGTCTCTGGTCGGCGGATACCAGTTGCCAACTTCAACGGCAAACATAAACGCGACTACCGGCATAAGTCGAGGTCTTGGACCGTGCACTGACCTGTGGACTCGTTCGGCATCCCGAGTAACTTGTATTCGAAGTAACGAATAACGGATACACACTGTAGCGTCACAATTAACGACGCGTTTACCAGTTAATTCGGCCGAGTACAAAACGATTCCGACGTAAATACGATAAGATCCTCCGGGGCGCTTGATCCCCGGGATTTAATTTCGTCGTGCATTTGCGAAAGTGGCACAAACTATATTAATTTAATAACTTGGTAACTTTACCTTGAAATGGCTCGACAACTCCACATTTTAACGCGAATACGAAAAAAAAAGTGTAAGAATAGAAAATTAGAGGTGTATATAAAGTAATTCTTGAGAATTTGTAAGCGAGGTCTTTCATTCTTAAAGCGGATTATTGGATGTAAGGATTTTTTTTGTGTTTGGATTAATTTCTTAAGAGGTTCTCGTCTCGTTACATTTTTGCGGATTAGGTTAATGAGATCGCGGGGATCTTCATTTTCAGCGCAGCAGTTATATACATAGACGCCGGGGAGAAAACCTAAAATTTAACGTGGTTTATTAACAAAGTAATTAAACCTTTTCTTGCTGCTTACATGTATCCCTCACCCCCCCCACATCCCACTAGTACGCTTGTATTTTACTTGTGTAACGTGGCTTCTGCTTTTCGTAATTTCATTTCAATATCGGTCTACGGACCGGTCCAGCAGCAGTCGTAGTTGTTAGAATAGCGCAGGTGCGTCGCGGAGCAGCTGAAAGAGGATGCGCCGCGACAGGATGACAGGCACAGGAAGACACGGCAGCGTGTGCGAGCATCGGAAAGCTATTCACGACGTGACGCTTTCTTACGGGATTGACGGGAAGAAAGGGGACCGTGTACCTCGCGCAGCCACGCAACGGAAGAACTCCATTTCCGCCATATTCCTCGTACAATGCCGCAAAATTGACTAGCCAGAAAACGGCGTCTCGTGACTGATGCTGGCGAAGAGGACCCGAGGGGCCGCCATCGGGTATCAGTTCCACTTGCGATCGATCGATCCGAAAGATCGCCTTGTAACGGCCTTCCGGCGATTCGTTGAAATTCCGGCCGTGTCTCGGACGCGCCTCCGATTCGTAATTTTAATTTTTCCGAAAGTTCATTTGTTGATAAATGTTACACAATCTTATAAAGTAATAAAGAGTTAACGGGCAAGCGAGAGATTTTAATATTCAAGGCAGAAAGAGACGAGCGAAACGAATAAACATATAATTTTATAAGACACTTGCAAACGTTTATTTCCCACACAGAACAAAATATCTAAGAAATATCCAATGGATATCGACATATCCGGATGATGTCCATAGCTACTATGGATATCTAATAGATGTATAAAATGTCTGTATCTTCCGCGTAGCCAGCGAGGATATCTAACGGATATGCACGTATTATCCACAGATCCATATCCACTGCAAATATGTGGACGGCACGTAAATATCTAATGCATATCCTCGATAGGTATTTGGATAAGATAACCATTAGATGGTGGACGTGGATATGTGAACGGCACGTAAATATCTAATGGATATTCTTGGTAGGATATCCATTAGATATTTACGCGTCGCCCACATATCCATGTCCACCAAATAGCTACCGAGGATATCCATTAGATATTTATGTATCGTCCACATATCCATGTCCATCAAACAGCTACCGAGGATATCCATTAGATATTTACGTATCGCGCACATATCCATGTCTGCCAACTAGCTACCAAGGATATGCATTAGATATTCGAACTAGTACCACTTGCTGCCGCGACGCAGCAATCGCGCGTTAGGCTCTCTCGTAGTTAAAAATCATCCTGCAATAATATGAAAGCCGAGCCGACGAATCAATCCAACATTATCTCCGCTGACAAAGTGAACGGTACTTGAAATATATACATAATTTTACAGAACTACGTAGAGCTTTTTGCTAATAATTATACATGAAAGGTTTTTAACGGACGAGTATTAATATATGTAATGGATACCTATAAGACGTCTATATAAATATCCACTAGATACTGATATGAATGTCTGATGAATATTGGCATAAATATCCTATAGATTATTAGATCTCGGACATTTGGATATCTAGAGCACGTCTAACGGATATTTTTTAGATACTCGTGGTTCCGCGTGAGTTAATTAAATTACGTTAACGAATAACGACGTGAAGTCTTTTCAAATTCCATTAAGAGCGTTTCATAAAAATTTCATTCCTAAAATTGCGTGACTTTTTATAGCAGTCATTTGTTAAGTGATTCCCGTATATATTTTTAGCAAGCGAAAACCCAGATATAAATCTGGGCATATTTAAATCGCAGACAGAAAATGTTGCGCCATACGTATTTCTAGGTCAAGAATAAATTTCGCGGAAATAAATAACGTCTATTTTTGGACTTGGAATGGTTTCATAATGCAACATTCAGCAAAATCCTCAGGACAAGCAGTTTCATTTTCAGAAAGATGCAGACGCGGCACGTTAATTTCCGCATGAAACATTCGCGGAGAATTCTGGGAGGTAGCCAAAGCGTGCGTATAAATAATGCGGGCTAAATGAAAAATTCTCTTGGGACGGGGGTGAAATTCCACGTCTCTTCGCGAGACTAAACGAAATCCCCGGCAGGAGCTTTTTCGAAAGTGCGACGCAGCTGCGGCTACGTTCGCGAATTCTCTTCATAACCCTCTCATCCCTTCCATGTTTCATCCCCCCCCCCCCTTGCCCGCCTACCCTTCTTCTGGCCCGCTTTCCTCGGTATACTGAACGAAGACAAATAACCTGTGGGTTGTTTGTTGCGCCATGGTCGTTTCTCCCGGAAACGGAAGGAACGTCGGAAGACCACCTAGGGGATCTGAGTGACCCTTCGAGATAGAAGTAGATAGAGGCTAACCTTATAGAGTTATAAATCGACGTTTCTACAAGAAATAATAACGGGTCGTAGATTAGAACATGCTGATACGAGATATTGAGTGGAAAGGTAAGATTATGAGAAAATAAAGCGTTTGCAGAAGCCGGAAGGAGTGAATGAACGCGATGAAGCTAGCCTC